TCAAGCTTAGGAAGACCAAAAATGGGTTACCTCTTTCTTGCCTGATAGGTGGCAACTCCTCTCTCTTCAGGAGCAAGTTTCCTTCCTCCAACACAAGGTCTTTCTTTCCCTGAATGCAAAGGTTTTTGCATGAGGAGCTGGTGGAGGTGTAGACTGGCCCCACAGAAAGCTTCCTCCAGAGGGAAGGACAGAGCAAAGTTTCATGTGGTGGGCTAGTGCTGTTCCCATTTTATGGGAGTGCCAGAGAAGTAAAGAGATGTGTGACCATTCCAGAGGATTCGATCTAATTTAATTTATTATTCAAATTGGATGCTTTAAAGAATGAAAGGTGGCCGATAATTGCTAAACTGGATGGGACCCTGAGATGACAGGACTGTCCCAGGCACACTGGGATGTATGGTATCAAACTCAAAGTTCAAAACTCCGATCTGAAAGGCAGGAGGATCGATTGAAGTCAGGAGTTTGAGACCAGCCTGAGCAAAAGAGAGACCCGGTCTCTACTAAAAATAGAAAAAGTCTCAGCAACTAAGGAGGCTGAGGCAGGAAGATCACTTAAGACCAGGAGTTTGAGGCTGCCGTGAGCTAGACCGATGCCATAGCACTCTAGCCAGGGTAACAGAGCAAGACTCTGTCTCAAAAAACCAAAAAAATAATAAAACGCAACCCTACCCCACAAAAAAATAACCTCAAAACTCCAAATTCTAGGAGCAGTGGGGGCAGGAAAGGGGCGGGGTGTGGGGAAAGTGGATTGGCATGAGGGGAGGGGAGGAATTGATTTGGGATGGGAAGGCAGATTCTTCTAATTCAACATTTAACCAAGAGCAAAAGAATAGTTCTTGGCTCTGACACCTGACCTTGCCTGGATGTCATGGAAGTTTTATTACATAAGCTCTTCCTGTGACCAGCCAAGACATCTGGTTCTTCGATGCAACGCTCACCTGGTAACAATAACACCAGCCTGTGTGTCTGTCTAGGTTTTCACTGTGCTGGCTCACTGGTGCGGCACAATGCCCCAGGCAGGGATTATTGTCCTGCTTCAGGGGATGAGGAAAACAACTCCTCCTACCCTCCCCAACTCCCCCACCCTTCCTGCCATTCCAAAGTCCTGGCAGGCAGCAGGCTTTCTCCCTCAGGAGGACTTGGCCGCTCTGGCTCCCGTGGACCCTGGTAGCTCTAGAGTGTGGGCTTTGAATCAGAGTCGTCCATATAAATCCCAGCTCTGCACAGATTTGCTGTTGCTACTTTGAGCTTTAAATTCCTCACCTGTTAGATGGGAACAAACCTCATTTGGTTGTCGTGAGAATTAAGTGAGATGATGAAATGTTCACTACAGTGCTTGGCACATGATAGGCAGTCAATGGTATTATTATCATTATTATTCTCTTAGGAAGCCCACGAGAAATGCTTTGTCAGGAGGAGAGATTTACATCATCCAGAGTGTTTATTCTGAAATTTCACGGGGGAAGTAGTATTTAGAGTTCAACAGAAAGTTCAGGAGGCACAGTGCGTGACGGGGTAGGGAACACCTTGGCTTCAGATGGTTGCTCACCAACATACAGGACAGGACAAGGGCAGCAAACAGAGAGCTCACTGCTCAAACCCACTGGATGAGACACGGCAGGGTAAGTGCAAAGTCCTGCCCTTTGGCTCTGAAAACCAACTATGTGAGTGTCCTGCCCATCCATGTGGAAAAGTCCACATAAATTGGCTTAGCCTGGCTGCACTAATAGAAGTCCTGGGTTTAGACCTTGGTAGGGTACCTCTTCCTTGCATTGCTCAAGACTGGCCACACCTAAAGGTGATGTCCTGGCCCCCACACTTCAGAGGCAGGTAGAAAAGGGACCCCAAATACTGCAAAACTAGGGGTCCCTCTCCTGCAAGCATTGGAAGGACCTGAGGACAGACAGGAAGACACAGGGATGTGACTGCTGTTTTCAGGTGGGTGAGGGAGCAAACATGTTCTGCATTGCTCACAGGGCAGAGCAGAGGCCCATGGCAGTGATGGCAGTAGGAATTAAAGAGGAGGCTGATTTTAATTGGACACGATGTAAGACATTTCTGATAACTCAAGCTTGTCTCTGTGGCCAAGCAGCTGTCTTAGAGCATATATTGGAGTCTACCTGAAAAGGGTATTGTCCAAGCAGTATTGACTAGACAGGAGTTTGTAAAATAACAGGGGAGGATGGTGTGCAGAATGGTTATAGGTATAACTTAAGTGCTGTGGGATTTCTGCAAAGAGAAAGCTTAGTGGGTTAGCCAGCTGGGGCTGGGTCCTGAGGGGCTGGGTCCTGAGGAGCTGAGAAGGGGAGGCTGTCTGGGGATCCCTAACCAACTGAGTGTCGTGAATAAGAGGCGTAGAGGCCTGAGCGAGCAAAGTGGGATCAAGAAATGCTAAGGAAACCAGCTTAGCTTGCCTCTTCCTATTGTTGAAATTCGAAAAAAGAATTTGAGACTCATAAGGGCGAAGGGTCTGGAATGCCAAATGCCACAGTGGCCCCTGAGCTGAGACGACTTGCAGCAGAGGTAGGCTGGGGAAGGCTGGCCTTCAAGCTGTGCAGAAGCTTCTCTATCCAAGCCACAGGCTGAACATCCCACTTAGTGAAAGGAAAAGGCACTTCCTCAGAGCTATTCCCCACTGAGCAAAGGCTGCAAGTCTGAGACCATGATCCCAAAGATGTGACTGTACTGTGTGTATTCTCTGCTGCTGCCTGCCATGCCCTAACCACCTGACCGGGTCATGAGACCTCTTTCAGACTCACAGGCTACCCTTGGAGGTTTTGAGAACCCAGCATCCTGGGACCTGGAGAACCAGGGTGTGTGATGTGAGGCACTGGGCCCACAGCACACAACAGAGTATGGCAGGTGTAGAAGGGATGATCCAGGGACACTGGGGCATCTATCTGCAGCCTGGGCCACAGAGCAAGGTTCCAGCCCTGAGAGGAGGCGGAGGTGATGTGGGCACCAGGGCCTCATTCCAGCAGGCTGAGGCTTTGGGTGGGGTGCTGTGGTTAAGCAGTGGATGCCTGAGGGGCATAGTATCTTGGTCTGGATGGCAGGGAGGGAGCCCGGCAAGGGGGTAGGAAGGGAGGCCATGCAACCCAAAGGCAGAACTGGCCCACTGGATCTGGGGAACCTCGTAACCTTTTAGGAATAGCGGTAGAACGTAATTCTTAAGTACTCTGGAGTCAGTAGGCCGTGACCTCAGTTATTACTTCAGTCACTAAATAGCTTTTGAATTGTGCTCTGTGCTGAGAATGGTGATGATGGGAACACGAGGTAACTAAGTCATGTCCTCTGCCTGAGTGGAACGTAAGGAATGGACCCCTGACTCAAAACAGGCAATAGTAATGGCTCAGAAAGTACAGTGACTAGTCAGAGAAAGAAGAGGCTGGGGTGCCTGCTTGCTGAGGAGGAGGTGGCTTTTGAGGTGTGTCTTGAAGGAAAGACAGCGACTGGAGACACCACTTTATACGGGGGTGAAGGGAATTCCTGGCAGAGGCAACAGCAGTGCACCGAGGAAGGCATGGGCAATGCCAATTAAGGGCACCTGTGGAAAACGGCTGGCAGTTTGGTTTGGCCAGAACCGAGGAGTAAATGAGATTACACAGGGCACCAGGGATTGGAAATGATCGTGTATTAAGTACCCATAGTGCATCAGGCATGGAGCACAGCTTGAGTCTCACAGCAGCCTTTCCGAGCTCGGACGGAGGAGAAAAGGGGATCCCGGAAACATGGCCTTCTTCCCAGGGTTCCCTTGCTGTTCAGTGGCTGAAGTAAGATCTATGCCTCATCTACCTGACCCCAGACTCTTGTTCTTTGCACTCTATTTCATCACTACGTTTAGAGTCCAGATTATTCATTTACAGTGAAGAGCTGTTCTCAACATGTGAGGCAGAAAGGTGTTCAGATGACATGTGACAGAACACATTAACCTTTGAGAGGCATTTGGTGGATGTGGCCAGGTTGTCACAAAACACACCTCAGCTCTGATAAGTACACACACACACACACACACACACACACACACACACACACGCATTTAGGAAGTTTATCTCTAAAATAGGGAGTAGGAAGTCACATAGCTTTCATGTTATCATAGAAACGGTTACTCCCAGGCTGCTATAGGCAATTTCTGAATTATTGGCTGAATTCTTTTATTTTCTCACTCGCTCAAGAAAATGGGGCAAAATGAGTCTTCTCTAATTTGTACAAAAAGCTTCTTGACTTTAGCTACTTTATGGCTAGCAACAAGTTATCTACTACCAGCCTCACCTGTTTAGGACCCCAGGGTGTCAGCCTGGTGCTCCGGAGTGGGGTGGGAGGGTGTGTCGGGGGTGAGAGTCGGAGAAACCAGGGCAGTCGCCCAGGTGGGGCTGTGGGGGTGGGGAGGAGGGTGATGCAGCTCAGTGAGTGTTTGCAGAGAGCCTGCCCGTGCAGGGGTGTGGAGTGGGCACAGGGACATCTGCGTGAAAGGAGAGCATTGTTTCCACAGATGGCATGTTCAGGCTCTGGGCAGGTAGGTGTTGGTGGGGGTTGCCTGCTCAAGTCGGGGTTCGTTCTAACGCTGTATCCTGTAGAGGCAGCCAGTCCTCGCTGCAGAGCGGGTCTGCCCACAGCCCAACCCTCTGTCCAGCTCGGCCTTCCTCCTGGAGCTCAGAGCCTGGATCCGACCCTGGCGGCCACACCTTGCTTCTGTCCTCAGGGTGGGCCCAGGGTCCTTCAGGCTTCCTAATGGGAGGCTTTTCCTCAGCCCGGAGAGAAAGGTTGAAAAGACCTGGGTGGGAGGCAGTAATAACCACTGAGAAATATTCCGAGAAGGAAGTTAGGTAGTGTGTGGGCTGGGTGACTCCGGATCTCATGCCAGCAGGAGACTTGGTGTGGGAGGACGCTCTCCCTCCATGTGCTGCCACTTAACAGGGAGCACTTTGAAGGCTGTTAAGGGCTGCTCCAGTGTCACAAATCCAGTACTCAACTGCCATGGTTATTTCTATTTTTAAAAGAGAATTTTAAATAAACCAAGTGACAGTTGAATGAGGAATGGAGTTCAGGAGAAGGATCATATCAGCTACATGAGAAGCGCATCTCACTGCATCAGTTACACATCACGCGTGGAAACATCATAAGGAGCTCCAGAGGGATTGCCTGTCCAGCTGTTGGTGTTCCCTGAGAGTGTGGTGTCCACTAAGAAGAGTTGTGGGGCCTCTCAGACACAGGTACGGCACTGCCATCTTCACTCAGAGCCATCTCTGGGGCTCTCTTGATGCCAGTGCACGGGGCCAGGGACCCCAAGGCTGAAGCCAGCCATGAATGTGGGCAGGACCTGGCCCTTACTCTCCCCACCCCCACAGAGCCCAGCTCAGTTTTAACCTCCCTTTTGGGGCCTCCCAAACCCATCTCCCCTGCGGTGACTTCTGTCAGGAGCCTGCCTCCAGATGGCCCCGGAGCGTCATAAGCTCTGCCTGCTCACTGTCCCTAAGTAGGGCTGCCTGGGGGCTCGAGTGGAATTTCTGAGGAGGTGCCGAGGGGCTGCAGGAGTGGCCGTGTGCTCTACAGGGCATGGGCTGCTTTGGAAGGCCCTGTGGCCCTGGCCTTGCTCCGGTTCTGTCAGGCGCTGCAGGAGAGAGGGAGAAAAGCTGGAGCATGTGTGCTGTGTTTGGGCTGCTGTACCCCCAGGGTCTGCCTGTTTGGGGGGTGGCTCCACGAGACTTGGTGACTTCTCAAAGGGAGTCAACATCATAGGTTTTCTTTCCTGATCCTAATATTTAGGCCCTGATGAAGGGTCTTGGCCAAATCTATCTTCTGGAATAGTGCAGTTAGGGACATGTTATCTGAGTGGGGAGAGGCAGGGTGTTGCCTATTTACTGGGCCAGGCACCAAGCTGGGTGGTTTATTCTGCCTTCTTTCTTAATCCTCTGACCAGCCCTGTGTGAGGCAGGTATCATATCCATTATATAGTAACATGAGAGGTTAATGTGTATTACCCAAGGTAAAAAACTAACCCATGTCATAAATAGTACAGCCAGGATTTAAACCAAAGCCTGTCTGATTTTGCTATGGTCTGCATGTGTATGTTCCCCCAAAATTCATATGTTGAAATCCTAATCCCCAAAGTGATGATATTACAAGTGGGGCCTTTGGGAGGTGATTTGTTCATGAGGGTGGAGCCCTCATGATTGAGAGTGGTACCCTTATAAAAGAGGGGCTATGTATTAGTGGTGCTCTACGTTAGCCCCAGAGAGCTAGCTAGTCCCTTCCACCACACAAGGACACAGCTAGAAGACACCATCTGTAAACCAGGAAACAGGCCCTCACCAGTCACCGAATGTGCTGATGCCTTGATCTTAGGCTTCCCAGTCTCCAGAACCATGAGAAATACATGTCTGTTGTTTATAAGCTACATACCTAGTTTATGGTATGTTTCTTACAGCAACATGGAAGGAGTAAGACAAAGCTTGGACTCCTGCCACTGCATCTTACTCCTCTCCTTATTCAGGGAAAGGAGCCCCACTCAGTTGGCCAGAGTGGGGCCTCAGAAGACTGGGGACTGGGACCTGTCATCTAAACCACCGCCCCTTCTGTGGCCCTTTTGAGTCACATAGACCACCATACCTTTCACTTCCTCAAGTCTGAGGAACTGTTTGGGTACCTTCTGTGGGAGAATAAAAACCCTGTTTTATTGAAGAGAAGAGGTGAGAAAGATGGGAGACAGGTCCCAGGAGATTTTTAGACAGTCCCACTCACCTGGGGTTCAGCTGACAGACTTCCAGGAGCAGGGCCATGTGAGCCTCCAGGGAAGGGATGCCTAGCACAGTGTTAACTCTCCAGCGGGCTTGTCTTTGGGCTGTAGGAACATGTGTGCAAGTGGGGAATTCCTGGGTCACTTTTTCTTGGGAAAGTCCCTAAACTACTCTCTGGCCTCAGAGCTCTTAGTGGGATGAGCTTGAGGGAAGTGATCCAAGTGGCAAGTGTCTTGTGACTGGCGATGTGAGGGGGACTAGCCTGCCCCTTCCTCCCCACGTAATATGCTGGTGCTATTGAATTGGGTTGAAGAGGGCTGAGCCTAGGCCTTTGGGCCCCTTAAATGCATCTTGGCAGCTGGTCAGGCTGCAGGTTTTAGGGTTTCCTCCTTGTAGCATCCTAAAATCTGGTCTTGCTAAATGGTCTTGGTCCCCAAGTGTGGTTCAACTCAGAGCTGACTTACAAAAAATATAGATACAAGAATATTAGGAACTGCCCTTACCTGGATGTTGTTTAATTTCTGAGAATGTAAAGTCAAGTCTCCCTTGGACTGAGGGAAGGGGACACCAGTGGGTCAGAACAGAGACCAATAGCTCTGGAGAGGAGGCTGCCTTCTTCTCACAGGCTGTATGTTCAAGATCAGTTGGGGGTGGGTATGAGTTTACTTTAGCTGCCGTAACAAAGTACCAGACTGAAGGGCTTACACAGAAATTTATTTTCTCACAGTTATGGAGGCCAAAAGTCTAAGATCAGGGTGTTGGCAGGGTTGGTTGGTCTGAGGACTCTTCTTGGCTTGTGGATGGGTCATCTTCTCCCAGTGTCTTCACGTGGTCTTCCCTTGGTAGCTGTCCGTGTCCTAATCTCTTCTAAGGACACCAGTCCTGTTGGATTACAGCCACCTGTATGATCTCATTTTAATGTAATTACCTCTTTAAAGACCCTGTTTCCTCATTTGGCCACATTCCGAGGTCCTGGGGGTTAGGAATTCAACACAGGAATTTGGGGATGGTCACAATTCAGCCACAACAGGGTGTTTTCCAAAATCCTCAGTGAACAAGGCTCAATGTCATCATCAGGGATGGAGATTCACTTACTGCTGGTCCTGCCAAGCTTGGGACTAGGAGAGGGAGGTAGACCCAGCCCAGCCAGTGGAGAAAGCCTGTTGGCCTTATCTGAAGGCCTAGCCCAGAAAAGCTCCAGGCCGAGGGGTTTATTTGTAGTCAGGCTCCCTGGCAGCAGTGGGTTCTGTACAGTGTCTTCGTCTGGCTCCCATGTGGCCCTAGCCATCCAGTGAAGACCGAGCTGCTAATACCCTACAGCCCAGGCCTGCAGGGGAAGCCCCCTCCTCCTGACAGTGCAGGAGCCAGGCTGTTGTTGACAGCACACAGGCCAGTGGCTTTTGTCTCCCACTGGTTTAATTTTCTTTTTAATGCAAAAGGAAAACCATTGCATTGAATCAAAATTAAAGTATTCAACAAATGTTAAAATGAAGGTTCAAAATAGAGAATAAATTTTAATTAATTCAATTCATATTTACCTAGAGCCTGCCAAATTCTGGGGCCTGTTCCCCACCCCAAGCGGGCAGCTAGCGAGGCTTGTAGGAGGTAGTTGGCTGTAGGCTGAAGTTATGCAGAAGGCCCTGAGTATTCTAGATAATGGAGAAGATGTGCCAACTTAGATCTGTTTTTTTCTTGTTGCTTAGCATTCTAAAATGATGAATGAGGAGAAACGCCTGGTATTATCATCTGTTGGGAAAAGTTACATCCTTTTCTCTCGTTGGTCCTTTGGGAATATAATTGTATCCATCAATTAAGTCTCTTGCTCATGCCAGGTCTGAGCATGGCCAAGTTCACTTTATGGTAGGTTTGCCTTCACCTCTGAATATTGGGCTAGAGAGAGAGGGGCCTCAGGTGTGGAGAAAGTTAGATGGGAGAGGCTGTCACGGATGACCCACAGCCCTTATTGCAGAATGCTAGCCAAGGTCACGCACTCCTTCTCCCTTCACTCTCCACGCAGATGCACAATTACCATTTTGTGTCAGCAAACGTTTACTGCACGTCCACCTGTGCCAGGCTCTTTGCTGGGCTGTGAGGATAGAGAGGTGAATGGGACATACTCCTTGCTCTCAAGCAGCTCAATTTAGAAGAGGAGACAGACACATTGAGAAATAATGCAAATGAGTATCACCTTTATAAATAATATAAACAGCTCTGTTGATAAAGGTGGGTACCACGGATGACAGCAGCAGAGAGAGGGCATGTGGCGCCTTCAGGGTTGGGCGTGGTGGCATCAGGAAGGGCTTCCTGGTAGTGGACATTTGGACAAGGCCTTAGCATGGCTGGGATTGGAAAGTATAGATGGAGAAAAGCATCCCAAGTAGAGGAAATAGAGAAAACAGAGACAGGGTATTTCTGTATTGGGGGTTAGGAAGTGGTCCATTGTGGCTGGAACTTGGAACATGGTGAGAAGTGCAGCTGTGGAGGGGGGGGGACTGTAATGGAGGACTTTGAGCTTCAAAATATGGCTTCTGCTGAAAGCAGTGGGGAGCTGCGGATGGTTTGGGAGCAGGGGAGCGTGTCATGAGCTCTGTGGAGCGTCCTGTTTGCACTGGGAAAGATGCATTGAAGGGGAGTCAGTTGGAGGTAGAAGCCCAGAGGCAGCAGCTTTTGCAGTCCAGTGGAGAAATGATGACAGTCTCAGCCCCCTGAGGGGTAAGGTGAGAGGTAAGGAGTTTGGTTGGACGTTAGGACTATTCAGGGAGTCTGAATGGCACTGTAGAAAGAGTACCAAATGCACCATCAGGAACTTAGGTTCAAATCTCAGTTCTGCTAGAAGGGAAGGCGAAATCCTGTGCTCCTGCCCCCAAAAGTCCAGATCCTTAGGTGGTGTTTTAGCTTTTTGTTTTAACCCTTTATTATAAAAAGAATTCAAATGTACACAGAAGTAGAAGGAATAGTGTAATGAATCCTCTTACCATCACTCAGCTTCAACAAGAACCTCTTGCTCGTGTTATTTTTTAGGGGGTAGTTTTTGAAGCTCTGTGGAAATATTCATGTTGAGGTTGTATTCGAGGCATTTCTCTGAGTGTGTGATCAGATTGAGGCAGTGAAATGACTTTATGTCCATTTGTTCCTGCCTGGAGGTAAATTGTGTGTTCTTTGTTGTGAGAAGGAAAATGAGGGTAACTTTCTTTGAAGGGTGGTGAGTTCCGGAGCTGAGGAAGCACCTTGCCAGCGGGGGCCTGTGACGGGGTAGGGCTCTGTCTGCCATGGGGGCAGGTGGGGTGGAGACAGGAGAGAGAATGGAGGTGAGGGCGTTGGGGGGTGGTTTGTGGGCCAGGCACCCTCATTATCCATTCATTGGAGGGTGCCTGTTGCCCACGGCTTGATTCACACTGACCGACCTGACAAGGCATGCCTATAAACCAGACCACAGTTTAATTTACTTTGGCAGGCATTGTTTAGTGGCCATGACA